AACTGGACCCTCGGTTAAATATGAAGAAAACACAACATCCAACTTGGAGAAGGTTGGTGACCACTGGTCTTGATTATCCCCAGCAGAGTAAACTCTTTTGAGCATTGACCCTCCTGACCAGTAGGGGCATGGCAGTCCATTGTGTGAATTCTTTGAATCACAGGCAGCACAATGAGCTCAAAGGTAGCACAGTGTTGTGAGTGAGGTGTTTCCACATGGACCCAGACTAGACAAGGAGCATGTAAATCCCTTGAGATCTGCAGAGTCTGAAGTGCCCAGGAAGCTTTGAATAGCCTGTTTATGAGGGGATGGGGGGGTGATGTATATATTGACCTGTTACATGATAGGGGTCAGAACATCAACTGGATCGTGACTTTCCAGGCCAAATATGCTCAGGCTCATCACTTAATGATGTAACGTCTCTGTCTGAGAACATCCAAATGCTGAGAGAGGATTAAAATCACAAAGAGGATTATTTGTAAGTAATTATTTGGTGGAAATGGGCCTTCAGCGTCTTTGTAAGTCGTTCAGAGAGCTGGGCAGAAGGGGGGCACTTCTGGGCTAAACACTCTCCAGGGCCATCAGAGATTCAGACACACCTGACTGAACTGCAACTTCACCTCTCTAAGCCTCATATCCCAGCCTTTCCGTTCATTATTTCTGCCCTTCTACACCATTTATGCTCCTATGTTTTCATGTAGCCATTCTTAAAGGAGAGCTGACCTGTCTTATGGCACACTGGCTTGACCAAGAGGTGCCGTTGAGACACAAAGGGAACGAGGAAAGTTGAAGGCATGAACACGAGGATAAAATGGCGGGGATATCTTTGGAGTAAAATGGCGGGGATATCTTTGGAGTAAAATGGCAGGGATATCTTTGGAGTAAAATGGCCGGGGATATCTTTGGAGTAAAATGGCAGGGATATCTTTGGAGTAAAATGGCCGGGGATATCTTTGGAGTAAAATGGCCAGGGATATCTTTGGAGTAAAATGGCCGGGAATATCTTTGGAGTAAAATGACCGGGGATATCTTTGGAATAAAATGGCCGGGGATATCTTTGGAGTAAAATGGCTGGGGATATCTTTGGAGTAAAATGGCGGGGATATCTTTGGAGTAAAATGGCAGGGAATATCTTTGAAGTAAAATGGCGGGGATATCATTGGAGTAAAATGGCAGGGATATCTTTGGAGTAAAATGGCCGGGGATATCTTTGGAGTAAAATGGCCGGGGATATCTTTGGAGTAAAATGGCTGGGGATATCTTTGGAGTA